CCAGCGCCGTGCGCCGCCGGCCCCGCCAGGCCGACCGCGGCGACTCCCGGCGCAGCTGGCACGAGGAGAGCTCCTTCGAGAAGCAGTTCAAGCGCAGGAGCTGCCAGATGGAGTTCGGGGAGAGCATCCTATCGGACAACAGGTCCAGAGAGGAACTGGGCAAAGTAGGCAGTCAGTCGAGTTTTTCAGGCAGCATGGAAATCATTGAAGTGTCCTGAGGGGCGGAGGCGCGTGTGACTGGCAGGGATGCTTCCCCTTTCAGGCCGCTCCCCCAGCGTGTGAGAGGTCCCTGTAAATCTGAAACTTCGGGTAAAAAGGTGGAGGGAGGGAAGAAAAAGAGGCTTTGCTGTGATCTCGGGAAAGGTTGGTGCTGCAGGGAAGTGACCACGACGTCTGCCGAGGTGACCAGGTGTGCTGCTGGGCTTTTCCCCTCGCCGGGAGAAAGGCAGAACACGGACCTTTCCCTGTCAGAGGAAGCAATTCTGTGTCCTTTCTGTGCCTTTTAACAAGGAAGCTCTCTTGGTGTCAAACCCTTTCTCTGGTTCCACTGAACCCATGCTCCTGCTTGTCAGAACTAGTTTTGTTCTCCCCTCCCCATCCCCCACGTCTTCACCAGTGCACCTTAGCCCTGACACTGAGCCAACCTCTGGAGGGAGACCTTTTTCCTGTAAGAAAAGGAGACTGGGAACGATTCCAAAGGCCACAGGGACTGGTTACAGCAAGGCTGGTCTGAACACACCGTTCAGACAAATGTAAATACTGTTGTAACTATTGTTCTAATGGGTAGGCTTTAGGTGATTCACTAGAGAGCTGCTTCAGAAAAAAAGAAAAACCCAGTACCTCAAAAATACACAAAATAAACTAGGGCTTTTTATGGCTGCCACGTGCTGGTAGTTCATAAGCAATGTGAACAAGTAATGACTGGCCACATTTGATTTTTTTTTAAAGCTGTCTACGCACAAGTGTTTCAGTTGGCTCAGCAGCAATTCTTGAAAGATGAATGAGCCATATTTAGGACTGTTTCCCCTAGTCTTTTGATACAGTATTTTTATTTTTGATATTAAGCTGGCTTCTGAGAGGTGTAGCTACTTTGGCTTCTAAGCTATAAAGAAGTGGTTGATAGGTAGAGCTACATGCAAGAGAAGTGGCTGGTACAAGTGGCCACAACACACTTTACTTGCCCATTAACAATTCAATTGCTGAAAAACAATTCAAATGTTTGGGGTTTTTTAAGGAAAAAATGAGCTGGAGTGGACTTTAGTCCTTAACTGAGCAGTTCCAGGGTGGAACTGTAGACACTGAAGGCTGTACCATGCTCTCACACTCAGCACCCCAGGGCAGACACCTCCAGCTCAAGGAGGTGTCACAGCCCTGGTTTCACAGAGATGCAGCACGGCTCTTCTCATGTTTTTGACAGTAACCCAGCTGCTTTCCCTCCCACCTTGGCTGCTGCTCACCTTGGGCTACATGGGCATGTTCCCATGAGAGGTTTATGGTCAGAGAGGGGTGGCACCCCTCAGAACATGTGTTGAGGGGAAACTATTGTTTTGTCCCATTTCAGTGCAGGCAGATGAAAACTGTAGTAACAAATAATGAACCCTGGCCAACAGCTTTAAAAAAAAATTTGTCAGCAGCAAACTGAAGCCCTAATTCAAGTCAGCATCTTGGGTTATGTTTGGGGTTTTTTTACTGTAAGTTTAGCTAGTTTGTGACTCAAATCTCAGGTTTTACTATATTGAAAAGTGGAGAAGATTTTTGTCATTGTTTCATTTGTGGCTAGGATGTGACTTTCATTTCCTATAATGGACTGTTGAATATAGCACTGAAAGCTACAACATTGATTAACTTGATCCTAAAAAGTGCAAAAGGCACAGAGAGGAGGCACCAAGTCACTGAGCCCAGAGGCTCTTTGTGCTGCGTCTGCAAGAGGCTGGACGAAGGGCCTGGGCACAGGAGAGGTTGACATCACCCTGGACACTGTGTCAGGTGCTGGCTGTTCATTGAACGTGCTGCCACTTGTCTCTGTTTACATCTCCAGTGGAAGTGATTACATCACAACTATTTTCAGCTGAGTACTTGCCTATGTAAACAGTTGAACCAGGGTTCCTCTCAGCCACATTTCAGGAAAAGCCTGTGGCTTTGACTTAAACCAGTTAATGGGAGTTAACACATCAATCCCTGGAGGCAGATTTCTTCCTCTTTTATGCTCCTTCAGACATGTGTGTTCTCTCCCATTCTTTGTATGTTTGGGGTTGATTGCCTTCTGAGGAACTGAAATCTGGTCTTGTGGCTCCTTGTGATTCCCTGTGTGTTCTGGATGAATCCAAGGTGTAGGCTTAGTACTTATAGGGGTCAGGTTCCCATAGGAGGAAGCCTTAACCCCATGTCCTGTACAGGGTGGTGCCCTGGCTCATACCTCAGCTGGAGTCCTGTCCCTGAACAATACTGGAAATGGTTTGCAGAAGTCTGGAAGGCACAGTGGAGGATGTGAGAGGGAAAAATGTGTACATGTTCAATATGAATATAATGTATGGCATTTGGTGTGTGGCATACTTGGCATGTTGGATGTGTGGTAAGCTGGTGAAATGGTTCAGAGAGATGTGAGTTTCTCATCTTGTTGTGTCATGAACATTACCTGTATGTTACGATGAAATAAAAACAGAAATGGTACCTGTTTATACAGAAGGCTGAGGAAGGAGTTGTGGAGTGTTCTACCTGCAGCAGGACCTGCTCCCCTAAGCAGCCAGGAGAGCAGGGGCCTTGTCCTTTATGGAACACCCCTGTTCCCTGCAGGTATGTTCATGCATGACCGGGCTGGAGCAGCTTTAGACCACTTCTCACAAGCAGTGTTGATCTTACAGCACCATTTATAGTAATCATTTAGGCCTCTTACCTGTCCCTGATGATCCCCCTTCTGCTCCACTGATGTGCAGCTGTGGGATTTGTCTGCATTAAAACCTTCCACTGTGTAATCCAGCTGTGAGTAATCTGTTCCTCAGGCAGCTAGGGTGGTCTTACTGAAGCAAGTACTTCAAATTGCTGAAGTTACCCAGAATGAACACCCATGCTTCTTTCTTGCCTTCCTCCCATACTACTTATTTGAAGAATAATTTAATTACTTTTTTAAGTACTTGTTTTGACTGATGCTGTCAGTCTTGAAGCATTCAGAACAAATTCTGCCCACTGAGATTGGAGCACACCCCCCATTGCTGCTTCAGTGAATGGCCCACACAAATATAGCATGGATTGGAATTAAAGAGGGCTGTCACAGTTGTATCCTTAGAGAGGAAAGCTGTGAGTTTATGTAACAGCATCTTCAAACTCAGGTGCAGTAACAGAAGCCTTCTCTTTTGAGAATTTCAAAGCACAGTCCCAGAAAGGGAAATGTAAAATCTTCAGTCTCTCTAAAAGAAACTGAACCGTCAGTCAGAGCACCAGTATCAACCTGTGTGAGTTTCTGTGCTTATTTCTACAAACAAGATGTAGCAGCTCTTAGAGAGGAAAACAACCATGCAAATTCAATGGCATCATCAGCTGCTTTGTCTACACAACAGGTTGGTTGACATGACAGTCTTCTGAGATTTAGCTGCTCACCCCATTCCAAAGTCTACTTCTGATTGCAGTAGCTCTGTTTGTTCCTTCAAGTTCTGCTTTTTTGAAGTATTCACTTGAGCTTTCACCACTCCTCCTGACTGCTTTGCAGGACTTGCTCTCCTCCTGTTCCCTCCCTCCCTGGCCCTGCCACCAGACAGCTCTGGGAGGAGACAGTCTAACTCCACCTCCAATCAAAACCCAAGGGGCAACTGAAACCTGCCTCATGTATGTGATCAACACTTTCCATTTCACTGCCTGGCATTTCTAGGCAGAGGTCCCTGAGGTCACTGGGCTCCTGATGTAACCACCATCACAGTGACATTCCTATAATGAAATGAACTGAAAATAGAGCAAACTTCCCGCCAGCAGGGATCAAGTAGCCCTGCTTTTGAGGGGGCTGGGGAGGATAAGACAGTAGAAATGTGGTAATTAGGTGAACTACTGTCTTTGCTAACTGTATTCATCAGCTAGGTGCTCAATACACTGCAACTCACAGCACAAGTTGCAGACTGACTTCTACCAGAAAGTGAGGGCATGAAAAGCCTAGACAAGGGGGACAGCACTAGGGTCCTAATAAGACTGTTACTTTTTAAAGCCAAAATCACTGTAATTCAACTGAACTTACCTAGCCAGACATCTTAATTAGCCAGCCATACACCCAGCTAGTCTGTATTTGTTATTAATCTGCAATAAAAGTTCTAGCACTTTTAGACAGTGTAACATACACAATACCACAACTGCATTATACACACAAACCCACAACTGAGCATTCAGATAGAACAGTCTTCCTAATACACAAGCTTTGCCTGGCAACAGCACTCTCCTTTTGAATCCTGCCTGCAAAGAACTTCTTGGCCCTCAGGTACAAATGGTTGCTCTGAGGCAAACTGAAGTGTTTCTGCAGTAAAGCCTTCAGCTAATTCTGCACTTCCAAGAATATTAGAAAGAGTCACCATAAATAGAAAAGGAAAGTGAGCTATTTCTTGTCTTCTGCAACACCCACCCCTCTGGGAAGGGGCTGCTTTCCTGGCATGTAAAATGCTACCAAACACTTTTGGAGCATTGTCCTTCTGCAATGGATTGCTCACTTTGAGGAGTGGATTTCAGCTGCTGTTTCCAGGGGCTCCCACCATGCTCCACTGCTGTAACAAAGCCAAAGTGTGACACTACAGGCAACAATGAGGCTGGGGGATCAGGCCATTAAACAAAAAACAGCAACAAAACTAAAAGAAACCCTGTAAATTTGCCTCTCTTTATTCAGTATCAACTGTGCAGGTGAAGGTTCCATCACCATTTCGCTTTCCCAGTGCCAAGTCCCAAGCACTGCTGCTCACATCTTGTACTCAAACTGGACATTAGTGCCAACCAGAACTGGGACAGCCTTGGGGGAAAAAAAAACAACCAGCATTTATTTTCATTCTGGGGACATGTTTCCTCTCAGTCCCATGACAGAGGCAGCCCCAGAGCAGCTGAAATCAGCCACGTCCATGGCACAGAGTGGGTACAAATAAAGCTGAGGTGCACTTGCACTGCCCAGACACTGCGGTTGGGAAGTGGGAATGAAGAATGAGCAATTAGGCAATTGGAGAAACAACACACATGGAAAAGAGCCGCACCAAAGGTTTTAATGCTAGAGCTGTGGAACATGGAGCATGTAGGAAGCTGAACAGGGTAACCACCCATAAACCATGGAGTGGTCACCCACAACGCTGACAATCAAAATATCCTCTGGCAGCTTGGGAACGGAGGGCTGTTCTATCAGTACCTTGGGAAACTACTGGCACACAGTCTGAGAGAGGAGCTGGCTCATGCAACCAATGGGCCTGTGAAAACGTGTATTTCTATTCTCTCTGTGTAAAAGCTTGGAGGAGGGGAAAACACACTTTAAATATTTAAGTATATTTAAATATATTTAATTTAAAATACATATACTAAAAAAATCCAAAAAACACAAAAACTCTTCTCTCCCCTTCAGCAGATCTTCACAGGAATTGCCCAGCAGGTAGGCTGGCACTTAAGCACCCTGTCAATGCATTCAGTGACAAAAACAACGGAAATAACAAAGCAAACCTGCTCTGCATGGGCAGCACAGTGACCAGTGTGAGACACAAGCAGCACCAGTGGCAGCACAACGGGAGAGCTGCAACAGCAGAGTCCAGGGAAGTGCCAGAGCAGCTCAGGCCAGAGAGGAACCACAGCCCCAGTGACTCGTCCTGCTCCCCAGCTTTTCACAGGATCACATACCAAGAAGCTTAGGCTCTACCCCAGACCACACACCACCCAGAAAACAGAGAAGGGCAGCAGTGTCTGGTTTCAGAATAGCATGCTAAATTATTCCCTGTTCAAAGCACTAAATTTGTGCTAGAAGCAACAGCTGGTACATTTTCAAAAGATACCTGAGGCCTCATTTGGCCTGGAAGAAGACATTCATAAGCAGAAAGGTGATTCCAGTCACATCTCCAAGCTCCTGCTAAACAGCATGGGAGGGAAGCATCAGTCTTACCCTGAGCATCACTTGCATCTGAGCTGAAGCTGAAAGCAGCATGTGGAGCAAAGCCACAAGGACCAGTCGAGCAACAAACAGCAGCTCGAGAAGATGTGGCAGGACACGTCTCACCCTCAGCAAGAGGGCCAAAGATTTACAGTTCCTGAAGGCAGTGACAATGTTTTAAATAAAATTGTAAACTGTCATTCAAGGGCAGTTAGAGGGTGCATGCTTCTTACAGTACCCATGCAAGAGACTATCACCTGTGGAATGAAGGTGATACTGTGAGCATTGTGATATATGTGAGCATTGAAAATGGTTGGCCTTCACATTTCAGCTCTTATTTCTTTCTAGTTTAGATATTATGCCTTCCACAACCTGCCCTTGCTGTTCAAGAAGCTCTGTCTGTGAGGCCCAGCAGCACAGCCACAAGCTTAAAGACCAGTGTTCCTAAGAACAAACTTTCTCCCATTCTCAGCCCAAGAGCTTGGTGTTTTCTGGCAAATGAGGAAGGAACTGATTTGCAGAACTTGCTCCTGGCAGCCTTCAGCTGGGAGTACTACTCCTTTCTCCTCATTAGCACTGCAGGGAGCAGTGCTTTAATCTGATACTTAATGGCCTGAGGCCAAATGTCTACAAGCCTCAGAAAAGTATCTTACAGGAGAGAGCATCTGCCTTGAGATCCAGTATCAGGACCTTCCCAGTGGCACAGGCTTCCAGCACACTAGGGTGTGGGACACTCATGAGATCACATCTGGCAGACAGCTGAATGTTGCATATTTAAAACATCCAGACAGCAGCATCTGGACAAGGAGGACAAAAATGGCTGCTGCCACTATTTAAAGCAGCTCAATATTCTTGTGTGTCTGATGGTGGGAAGCAGAGATACATTATTCCATGTATCCATGGGACAATGAGGACCCACAAAGGCATGGCCATGACAAACAGCTTTTCCTGGGTTAAGTCTCATGTAAGCTTTTAACAATCCAAGTGTAAAACATGGCAGGAACCTTTAACAAGGATGGAATTTTGATGTTTTATGCTGGGCAACACACAGCATATGCCTGTGTACATGCAACTGTGTAAAACCTCTGGGGTGAGAGCGGCAGGCAAGGAGACCTGCTGCCTTTGCTAAAAAATCCTCATGCTGAGTTCCCTTCCCTCCCTGAAGCAGTCAGTCCCGCTTCCCAGGACATTCCAGGGGGCTTCATTTCTACAGGACTCTTCTTCTATATAGTGTTCAGCAAGCCCTGGAATCCAACCACCACCGTGGTTCTGACAACACATCTAAGTTGGCTGCAGTCTGCATGACAAAAATTCATGCTGGCCTTTGGGAATGCAACAAGAGAACAGACTGTTGCTTCTTGCCACCAAGCAATAATTATTACAATCAAAAACCTACTGCACTGTTACTGAAGGGCCCCATGGTTTCAGTCATTCAGCAGCATGCCACCACCAGCTCCCGGCACAAGGGTAGATAAACCAACAGAAAGAGCCAAAGGACTTCCTGTGTCTCTCCCCTCCAGCCTCACACACTTGAAGAAGCAGATGCACCCCACTGGTAAAAAAGGACAGCACCAAGGTAACTTGAGTGTCCCAATAAAAAAAGACACCTTGCGCCCAACTTTGGGATGCAAAGTGAGCAGGCTGGTATCGGTGCCTGTCAGAGTGCCACCAGCTGGGGCATGGGGACATTGCCAGGGCAAGGGGGAGAGGAACACTAAGGTTTGCTTTACACCAACAGACATACATATCTAGAACAGTTCTCCTTTACAGCCTCATAAATTAGTGAGCTCACAGAAACAGGAGCCTCAAGAACATGCTAAAAACCCTGCCATGCAAACCATGTTAATTATGATAATGGCCAGATTTTAATAAGCCAGTTCCTGGCTCCCACACTTTAACCTATAAAACACACATATTTCCAAGGCCAGGGGATCTCAGAAATACCTTCCAGCCATCTTAATTGTCTAAACCCCAGTGGCACAAAAAACATGTTAGAGGGTTTGTCATACCCCATATCCCATTGAACTTTTTTTAGTAAAAAAAAATAAATCATATGAAAGGAAATTCCTCCTCTGTAAACCACAACTAGTCACAGCAGTGAAACAAATGTGTCTGCACAGGCGGTGTAGTGGCAAAGGAGACAGGAGGGCAAGAGGAGGGAGATGAGAGAATGGTAAATCATCTCCTTTGGGGAGCTCCTGGATTCCTGACTGTGCAGTTCTGGCAGTTAATGCTGCTCTCCCTCTGCTGCTCTGGCAGAGAGTCCAGCAGCAGTGCTGCCCACTCCAAACACCTGCCAATGCAGCCTGCTGGAAATGCATCCATGCCAAACATGGAGCGTGGAAGGTGAGGAGGGGGGAACTGCCAGAGTGCTACGACCTCAGCTCCCGGTCAGGTTTCATGGAGAAGGGCTCCAGCCGCTCCCCCTCTGGCAGGAGGCTGTTCAGCCGCTCCATCAGTGGCACCGTCTGGTCGATGCCCATCTGGATCCGGCGCAGGATGGCAGACATCTCGTTGACCTTCTGGATCTGCTCCGCATACTTGGCGTATTTCTTCTGGCGCTCCTGCATGAGGCTGTAAAGAGTTTCCACAGAGAGGTCCATCTGTGTAAAAACAAGCAGAGCAAGGCTCATCAGGCCAATTGTTGCCGCAGTCCTTTCAGCACACCATCCTTCCGAAAAGCAACCACCTTGGATGCTCCACTAACAGGAAGTAACAGGCAGCTACAAAGGAGCTCCTCGGAAGGTACATAACCAGTTTGTCATGGAATGGGACGACTCACAGTTGTATACCAGGGAGAACATATGATGACCTCAATTCTCCACCCAAATACCTAAATACCTGATCAGAAAATTCTTCATTTGCAGGAAAGCCAACAGGTACTGCCAGGGATTTCCCAATAAACCCACACACACATCCTCCAAGTTATCCAAACCCAGGGAACTCACGGCCTCTGCCTACACATGAACAATATTTTCACTGGAGAACATTCATTTGCAAGTGTTAAGCTCTACCACAGTTGCCAGTGCTGATTTTTCTCAGTTTAGCCAGGTTACTCTGCAACTAAGCCTGTTAACATGAACAGCTGTTACTACCATCATCATCAGGAAAACTCCAGCCTTTGGAGAACCACAATGGATTGCTAGTGTCCCCAGTTTCCCTGAAATCCAAAAATAAGAGTGTTATAAGTGACCCCATGAGAGACATTAAGTAAATTAGCTATGCAATTAAACACAGTCAGGATCCAAACATGGCTCAAGCATGATGACAATGACAGGAACTGCAGTGCTGTTCCTGCCACTGAGTGATGAAGGCAGCCTTTATAATTCACAGCCCATTTTTCTGTTCAGACAGACCTGCAATCTCCAGGCAGGACTCAGCCACTACCTGCCAGTACCTGACACACAAGCCCAGTCAAGACGGTGTAAGCTGTTTTACATATCCTAAGATATCTACCACATGTTCCAAGACCTCAAGGGCTCACTCGAAGCTTGGTTGCTTTGGCTCACTGTAACTGTACTTAACAACCCCAGTGACTCCAGTGCACTGGCTCTTCCAACAGGGATGTTTTTGTGGAAAGCAGTCCCCTGGCTTGAGACTCAGCACAAGGCCACAGTGGCTGGGAGTGAAGGGCAGCAGTGGACACACACTGAGCAGTTTTAGCCCACTGCCACCTCTTACATTGTTTTCCTAAAGCTTTCCATTTCTAATTGCTCCCAGAGGAAGGAGGTCACTGCTCATGATGAAGCAGCCTCAGGGAATCGATGCTGAAAACTCCTGGTCTGCCAAGAAGCACAGGTTCAAACAATATCCCTCTCCTGAATGGTGTGACAGTCAACCTGTCTGGTGGAGGACAGTGACCATACCTGTCACCAGGGAAAAGAGTGAGTGAGAACCAGGGAGAATTTATTAGTGCAGTGCTAAGAAAACACAAGGTGCTGACCTGACCTGACTTATACAGCATGGAACAGGCAGGTGTAATCCTGACCCCATGTCCAGTGCTATGGGTCTGCAGGGGAGAGTCTGCAGCAAGGGAGGACTGGATGGAAATGGTGCAACACTGGAAGGCCCCACTGAGGAGGGAGGGCCAAGCAGAGAGAACTCTGCCATCCCAGGGGTGGCAGCAGGGTTGGACACTGGGCATAAACTGCTGTAGTTGTATGCGCTGACAAACCCTTTCAAATCCTGGGGAGGAGGTCAAGTCAAAAATAGTCAGGCAATATTTCATTGACAAACCTAAGTTGCAAACAGCATTGAAAACAAACACACAAGTTTCTGCTGAACTGTCATGGGGATTAGGGGGCATTTTTTCCCCCCATCACTTCCATCAGAATTGCATATGGTACCAGTAGACATTTTATTTTGCCTGCACTTTCTACTGCTCTCAGGCTGAATTCTTGCTATTTGCTTTCCTCTGAATTCCCTTCTCCATGCCTTCATGCATGGGACAAAATAAAAACCAGACGAGCAGGAAACTCTAAATAGAGTGGAAACAATTTAAGCCTACAGAGGGGTTTCTATTAAAACTCCAGCTTAATAATTTAGTAGCTTGGGGCTAGCTCTGTAGAGAGAAGTGTGTAAAAAGCAGACCACCACCAACCAGTAAGTTCAATCCACTGCCTAAAAACATCCTACCTAATGAGAGACAGTGGCCTGGAGGGGCAGCCAGTGGGAAACCTGCCAAAAGCCAGCACGGCTCATTAAACAGAGCAGCATGGGGACCCAGGCAAAAACCTCTGGTTTTGAAGTTCTCCTCCACTGGCAGGTTCTTCACATGGCCTCACAGCACTGTACAAGAAGCAAAGCTGGCACCCACCAAGCTTTCAAGCAAAAGGGGCCAAGGCCCCTCTTTCTCTCCATTCCAGTAATTTCCATCTGCTGACTTCTAGGCTCCTTGTGTAAGAATGAGTAACATCCACTTACTAGTGGGGAATGAGTGGAGAAGCTGATGCTGACCTGCAATAGGAAGAAGAAATGCAGAGTGGCCTCCAAGGACTTTGCTACCTTTGGACATTATTCATAGCAGCCATAAAAAAAGCTGCTTCACAAGAAAGAGAAAGGGTAGAAGTGAGCATTTCGTATGATTTCCTTACACCTACCATCCAAGCTTGCCTGCTAAGGGAGGCCACAGCAGCTGCATAGCCCAAGACACAACAGGGAGAACTGAAGTGGAGCAACTGAGGAAAGGTCAATTTTTACTCAGTCTGAACCTGGTCTTTTTAACTATCAAAAAAAAAAAAAAAAAAAAAAAAAAAAAAAAAAAAAGCAACTACATGTTAATTCCAGTAGATAAATGCCAATGTCTCTCTCAACTTTCCTTGAAGCAGGCCTAAGTACACATTTACATCCTTCCTGCCTCTTCCCCTTCCAAGTGAGCTCCTCCAGAGCCAGACCTTGTGCTTTTACCTCTCCTGGCATGCAGTCCCATTCCTCTGGCACTCAGATGGGGCCTTAAGATTCTGAGAGTCAGCCCAATTTACCTACCACAGAGACTAATACTGGCCTGCAAGAATCCATAATGATCAGGGAACACACATAAGAATCCATCTTATTCCTATCTATTTAATTTTATACATCATACAGTATAAACAAAAGCATTTGGAAAAGAGGACCTGAGGTAGAATCTTGTCCCTTGCCTACAGCCAAGGCAGTCCAAGACACCCTCAAGGGTCAATGAGTGAATTTGCCTTCTCTGAAGAGTTTCCATCAACTCCCGCATCCCGCAGCCCTGCCACATTCTCATCTGGAAAACATTCAAGTCTCAGACTTCTTGCCCATCCCAGACTGTGAAGCTCTCTGGGAAGTCCATCAAGACACCCCAGAGCCAGTAGTTCTTCACTGTCCTACAACCATCTGAAAGTGTTTATTTGAGTCATTGTTTCTGCTCTGGTTGCTTCAAGCTTTCTATGCCAGGCCACCAGAGCTGAAGACAACTCCCTATTGCCTTGAACCCATCAGATATGACAGATGTGAAGCAGCATAGTCACCAGTCCCTGACAGCCTCACCATCACTAATCTGTCCTTCTGTCGTGGTTTTAAACCAGTAACTAAGAAAATTACTTATATTCTTGCTGTGAGATATGGATTAGAACAAGAGCAAAACAGGCATACAACTTAAAAGGGAAAAAAAAAAAGGAAGTTTATTGACAAACTACAACAAGAACACCAGAATAAACCTCCAGAAAAACCCTTCCATCCCCTATCTACCCACCACTTCCCCGTTCACATGACAACAGAGACAAAAACTCTGGAACTTTGATGGTTAAAACAGTCCCAATTCTTGCTAGTATTTTCACCAGTCTTTATAGAGAAACAGAAGTTTCTTCCTCTTAATTTATGGAGTTTCTCACAAGAAAACTATTTTTGTTATAGTCTTCTATTGCCCTAATGTTAGCTGCTCAGAGCTGCTATTATTAGATTTCACTCCTCCCATTTTCACATCACTCTGAAGTGTGTATGGGCCATGAGTCTAGAGATAGCATTTTTAAGGATAAGTTATTCAAAGGCAAAAAAAGTCTTCTTCATCTGTTTCTGTGAGCTTCACCAGAAAACAGTTTTCTCATTGCCTCTCAAGGCTTCAAATCTCCCAGCACTTCACTATACTATAATTACTCTTTACTCAAATTTACACTTTGAACACTATTCCTCTCTAGATCCTATATCATGAATTAAAGGAGTTCTTTTCAGGACTTCATTGTCCATCTCCATAGTTTTAACAGGGAGATATTTCAGCTTAATTAAAGCATCTTCTTAATTCTCTACCTTTCCTGAAGCTTCTTTTCTTTCCTGTCACTGGTAGTTTATAAAGTCTCTTTTCATGTTGATCTCTCTCCCTCTCTCTCTCTGGATAAAAAGATTAATCCACAAGTCTCATCTGGGTAATGAAAGAGTTAAAATCTTGCCCAGGCTTTTGTAGATGGTTTGGTGATCTCTGCCGAACAGGAGCTGGAGCCGTCTGCGATGGAAAGTTCCTCATAGCTGCTCTGGAGAGTGTAGTCGCTGCTCCAACCCGCTGCAAGTCCAGAGCCTCTCTCTCTCTTCACTGGGCAGTTTCTAGTGAATTAGTTACAGCAAAACCTGCAGCCGAGCCAGAGATCGGCTCGGCCCTGCCCGGGGAAAACCTTCCCCAGGCCCCCCCATCTCCCAGCCGGGAGACGCGGCAGGCCCGGCCCCATCCCTGCCCGGCCGCATGGCCTGGGCAGGGATGGGAGGCCTGGAACTCCGCCACCCTTCACAGCCAGGAAACAAAGAGAACCCAGAGAGCTCTGCTTTTACACTTTAAGGTAGGATTTACAAGTTGATCCCACTTTTCAATGGCCCAAACTGCTGTCAATTCCCAGCAATGACCGATAATTGGTCAGGAGAAAAGACTCCAAGCACTTCCCAGCAACGCCAACTCTCTTAAAGGTAAAGTAACTCCATGACACCTTCAAACATCACCACTCAGTAAGCTACAAACATCCCCAGCTTAGTGGTACAGAAAAGTTTCTGGAGAATTAGAAGACTGGACTTGAAGCATGTTAAGAAGCAACATAACAAAGCAAAAGGCAGGAGCCAGCGTGTGATGTCAGAGTCCTAATTTTCATCAAAGCAAGAGGTTCTG